TATCATCTCTCAATCTAATTAACTAGTTTACAAATTGCATATTCCATTCACTGGCCCACATTACCAGTGGAAAACTAACATTTTCTATGGTAGAAGAAAACAAAGTCTGCCCAGTGGAATAAATTAATAAGAGGCTGTGATACATTGGTGAACCGAATCAGAGCCGCGCGTCTTTGGAATCTACAAAAATTTCAACAAACAACTTACTGTATGTATTATTATAAATAGTTGTTTTTATTGTTTAAGTTATATTAAATTATAAAATAAAAATTATTAAATAAAATAATTTTTTTAATAAAAAAATAATTTTTATTAAATGATTAAAGTTGACAGACTGCACAATAATTTTTTGAATTAATATATGGAGAACTAGAAGAGAATTGATAGTCTTATTATTATTATTATTATTATTATTATTATTATTATTATTATTATAATAATAATAATACAGTGATCAAGAAATGGTAGTTAATAGGCATAAAAGTATTTTAAAGTAGAAGCCAGACTATTTTCGTAAAAAGAGTTGAGGATTCTGTTTCATTTTTGAAGAAATGTAAGAAATTGAATTTTTTGTAGCGAAAATTTGAAAAATAAAAATAAAAATATATTTTATAATTTAAACTGTAAAATATTATTATTAAATTAAAAAAGCCTTTAAAATTAAGAATCTTTCTATTTAATAATTATTATTTTACATTTAATATAATTCAAATCACACCATACTCAAATAAAAATCTTGATGGCAAGAGAGCAAGATAGAGTTGAACATGCAGCTAACTCACAAACACGGCAAAAGGAGAAAAAAAAAAAAAAATTCTGAAGACATGGTCGAAAATCTTCATATTGTGGACAAAAGAGAAAAATTTTGTTTATTTATATTTCTTATGGACTGTTTTTTGAAAATAGGCAATGGTTTTATGGAGTGTTTTTTTTTTTTTTTTTTGGCTACCCAACGCCTAGATTGATTAGTCGTTTTAATAGGATTCTTTTTAACAATATTTGAATTAAATAAATAATAAATAC